CATCCTGCTATTGCAATTTCCCAGATGGCTGGCAAGCTCTTTAATTTGACGGTGGGATTTAATAGTATGGATAATGTTATAGTAACTATAAACTTAAGTTCTATTGGTTTTCCTAAATTATTTTATTTAAAAAGATTGTTTTCTATCGGTAAATACACTAATTTAATTTTTTCTTTGAGTTACTCAGATTGGGAATGTGACAAATATGTAAGGTTTGTTTCCTTTTGTCAAAAATTTCTTAAATGCCAAAATGCATCAATTAGAATTCTAGATAATAATAAAGTGAATGGCAGATTTCGACTATCAAGGCTGTCTTTTTTAAAGAATATTTTGTCTTACGTAAGGAACAGTAGTATTTTAGAACGCATTTTCACAGTTTCTAACATAAAGTATTGTGTTATTGAAGATTCAGCTATCAAAAACAATCAAAAATTGCCAAGTACTAAACAAGGTTCTTTTTTAGATTAAAAAACTCTGACAAGAGCATATCTTTGCTGCTTTTAAATGTTCAATCTGTTCGTAACAAGGTTGATAATCTGTTTATTGTTTTGGAGGGCTTGGGTTTTCCTAATATTGTTTTGTTGACGGAGCATTGGCTTAGGCCTGATGAACCACTGTATATTCCGGGTCATTTTGTTGTTTCGAAGTTCTGTAGAGAGAACTCCTTGCATGGTGGTACCGTTGCCTTGGTGGATGAATGTATTTTTGATAGTTTCTGTAATTTTGATAATCTTGATCAATTGCTTGTCGAAATGCAATTTGAATTTTCTATTATTCATTCCGAAAAATTAAAATGTTTTATTGTTTGTATCTATAGATCCCCAAATTGTAATTTAAACGTCTTTCTGGAAAGACTTGAATTTCTGTTGTGCCAGTTTCCTATAAATAATACGGTTATACTTGCTGGTGACCTTAACATTGATTTTGACAACACAGATAATAGATCTACTATCAATTTGTTAAACTTGTTTGAATCTTTTAATCTTAACATGCATGTTCATGAATCTACGCGCATTACTGAAACTTCATCCACTAAAATAGACTACATTGTCTCGAATATAAATGATAACGTATCTTGCACCGTGTTTGATCCAGACCTTTCCGATCATAGAGCTATTTTAGCTACCATTCCTATCAATTACGCTAGCAATAATGACACTGCAAAGTTGGGAAGAATTTACAGCACCAGCAATTTTCAAAAATTTCGACAATCTTGTGAGTCATTTGAATGGGATTCTATTTTCAGAGAGCCAGAGCCTTTGGGTGCTTTTCATAACGCTCTGGCAAACAAGGTCAGCAAAGCTTTCCCTCTTCGCCGCCTAAAACCAAAGCGCAAAGAGAGGAAAAAGTGGCTAACACCAGGAATACGTACTTCTGCCTCCAATTTAAGATTCCTTAACAGCCTTAGGAGGGCTTACTCTGATAACGCTTTCCTGCAATCTTACTATCTTTTATACAAAAAAATATATAGAAATGTTATTCGAAAAGCCAAAGAGCTATTTTACTGTAAACGCCTGCTCAACTCTAATAATAGTCAAAAGGAATCATGGGCCATCGTTAACGAAATCACCAAAAGAGCAAATAAATCACCTCAAATAAACATCGATACAAACCTCTTGAATAAATATTATTGCTCAGTTGCTGATAATTTGACAAGAGACTTACCATTCAATACTGATCCACTCATTTATCTGTCAAACATCAACAGCCCCGAACATTTTCATGCGTTCTACCCAACTACCCCTCAAGAAATCCTAAAAACAATTCGTTCCATGAAAAATAAAAAAGCTGCAACTGATGATGGTATTTCATTGAAAATTCTGGAGAGCCTTCCCAACACAGCCATCGCTACTTTATCAGATGTAATCAATTTTTCTTTTGTGACAAGTACCTTTTCATCGTCTTTTAAGATTGCTAAAATCCTCCCTCTATACAAAGGTGGCGATCACGCCTCTCCCTCTAACTATCGACCAATTTCTTTATTGTCAACGCTGTCAAAACTTATTGAGAGTCTGGTAAAATCTCGTCTCATGTCATTCTTAGACGAAAACAATATTATAACTAAGGATCAATTCGGATTTCAGGCAAAAAAAAATACTTCTGACGCTATGTTTCAGTTTCTCTCGAGACTTTTCCAGTCCATCAACGAGCGTGAAGCTTCGGCGGCGGTATTTTGTGATTTATCTAAGGCATTTGATTGCGTAAGTCATGAGGTATTGCTGCGGAAGCTTTACGCCTATGGTGTCCGTGGAGGGGCCTTGGAGTGGTTTGGGAGCTACTTGCGTTGCCGTGAGCAATTCGTTCACGTGGATGGGGTGTCATCTAGCAGACAACGTAGCTCATGCGGCGTTCCCCAAGGATCTGTACTAGGACCCGTTCTCTTCTTAATCTATATAAATGATTTAACCCAACTTGAAATCTCTGGGCTGTTCACGTTGTTTGCTGATGACACAACCGTTCTCTGGCGCAACAGGGACTTAAATCAACTGCAACAGGACATTGAATCCGATCTTAAGCAGATCAGACGGTGGTGTGATGCAAATCGTCTGTGCTTAAACATGTCGAAAACTCATCTGATTGGTTTCAACTGTGCTCTTCGGGACCCTGACATGGGCGACAACTCCATCTCAATTGTGGATAACTCCAAATTTTTGGAGCTCATAATCGATGAAAATCTTAAAATCCTCACATTCTGAAACTAAATAAAAAGTTGGCCTCTGGCTGTTTTTCGGTGAGAGCTACCTTCCAAGAACTGGGTAAAGAAGTAGCACGCAATGTTTATTTTGCTCTTGTCGAGTCACATATTAGATATGCATTACCCTTTTGGGGAGCCTGTGCACAAAATCTTTTTCAGTCTGTCTTTATTCTCCAAAAGCGAGCAGTTCGGAATTTATGCAATGCCCATCCAAGAACACACTGTAGACATCTCTTCATCCAAAATGGCATTCTTACTCTACCCTCCCTTTTCATCCTGGAAACAGCATGCTTAATTTATAAAAATAAGCAAAGCCTTCCAAGGCATCAGCAAGTACATCAAACCCGTCAAAACAATAATATCCCTTTACCAATACCTCACTTGAACCTGGTTAAGAGATCTCTCATCTACAATGGCCTCAAAATATACAATAATGTTGGTTTGCGGATTAGGAATGCTTCAACATCAAAGGCTTTCCGGAACCTACTAAAGGCATACTTATTGAAAAAGGCATTTTATACCATTGACGAGTTCTTAGAGCAATCCTAATTTAGTGTGTTATTTAATCTCAATAGTCAACTGGCTATATATTGTTGTTTTTATATTGTGTTGTATTTTGTACTGACCATTTTTTACATTGTTGATTATTATTATTTTTATTATTTTTTATTGTTCTTTTTATTGACCGTACTTAAAATGCTTGTCTTATTGTCAGTTTTTTTTTTTTTTTTTTTCCCTTTATTTGATTAGTGTTTATTGACTGTTTGTTTGTAACCAGGTACGCCATTGTTGTTTTTTTTTTAGTTGTTTTTTTTTTTTTTAATTTTTATTTTACTTTAATTTAGTTTTTAAGTATGCTTTGTCAATAAGACCTATTACATGTAATATTTCTTGGACAATAAAGTACTTTTCATCATGTCCGTGTGAAATCCATCATATCAAAAGACAAAAATCCGAGCAAAAATTCTTCAGTACGATCCACAAGAATACTTAAGCTGGATTTATACAGCAAATATAAATTAAAATAAGATAAAATAAGAAATAACAGTTAACCTAATCAGATACCCTTAAAGTGTTTATACAGAAAATAACAAATAAAATAAGAAATGCATTAGCTGTATTTGTTATTTTATCGTATGTTATCTTATTAGAAGTATTGCGGGACTTCGCGTGGTAGTTCGAGGGTATTTCGCGTACTTCGACAGTAATTCCATGGTATTTCACGTGTTTCGACGGAAATACCTGGTATTTCGAGGTACTTTGCGGTATTTCTAGGTACTTCGAAGTATTTTGGAGGTTATACAACTCACTGTACATTATTCCCATATGACACGAGAGGCTTAACTAGTGATAAGCCTTTTGGGATTATCGCGCTTGGTGGCAATATTGTTCATTTGCCAATAAAAATTAATAAAGAATTGAAGTTTAGTTCGTTGTATAACCTTTTGAATACCACTCGATGTTTTAGGATTACCTAATACTTTTACCTGACATTCAACGCGTTACCAGCAACACCACTCCTCCTTCGGAGTCGTGATGTTGCTCCGTATTGCGTTTCGTGACAGGTAAAAGTATTATCCGGTAATCCTGAAACCTCTTGTAGTATTACATTCGATAATTCGGGCCAAGTGTACACGTATTCCAGGAAGTGGAACCCCTCGGTTCAAATAGTGCATTTTGAAGAAAAGTTAGTTTGAAGTTGAATTTTGATAAAAATTGGCTTGATTGTGTCAGTTTGAAATCGAATTTTGATGAAAATTGGCTTGATTGAGTTGGTTTGAAGTCGAATTTTGATGAAAATTGGCTTGATTGAGTTAGTTTGAAGTTAAATTTTGATGAAAATTGGCTTGATTGAGTCAGTTTGAAATTGAATTTCGATGAAAATTGGCTTGATTGAGTCAATTTAAAATCGAGTTTCGATGGTTTATTTTTTCCAAGATAGATTTTGGCATTGTCAATTTTGAAACATAAACAATGCCGCTAATGCCGCTTATTGGTCGCTATTGTAAAACTGATGTCAACCTGCAGAAACACCTCATTTTGCGACTAATCAGGGTCAAGCGTTATTTTTTAATGTTTAAAGTTTTCAATGTCAAAATCTTTCTTGGGAAAAAATAAAGTGTAGGTGATAGCAGTATAGCCCGGTCACCTAAAATGGTATTTTTTTGAATAAGAATCGTTTATTTAACGTTCAAATAGTGCATTTTGAAGAAAATTTTCCAGCGGAAACCTTCAATTTAAAAATTAAAAATTAAAATTATACTGAAAATACTCAAAAAAATACTATTTTTGGTGACTGGGCTGCATGGAGGTAAGTAACACCCATTTGGCTCACGTTCGCAAATTTGAATGTAACACCCGATATCGCAACGGAGAGTTTTTTTATCGGGTGTCACTTACCCTGGACAGATTTTCATTCACATAATGTACAAAAGTAATGCCTTTATTAGATAGTATAGATATAATATTATTAGTTTTTTATGTTTCAAACTTTCTGTATTTTATTAATTCGCTTGTTAATTCTTGTTTACAGGCCCTACTTTTGGTATTTCCCGAGGTATTTCCTTTTGTATCATGTACATATGTAAGCCTAGCTTAGAGAAAAGAAGATTTAAAAAATTCAGTACGATGTAATGGTATTTCGAAAGTAGGTATCTGTTCCTTGTTGAACTGGTATGAATGTCACCAAGCCTCACCAATAGTTCGCAGAGATATTCTGGGCAATTGTTCTAAATAATATTTTGTATCAAAACAGCAAAATGTAAAATCTTCTTTCTTTCATCTTGAGCATTTCACTGTTAGTAATGTAAGGAGTAAGATGTTCTTGTCTATTTAGGTTCAATATACAGGGTGTCGCAGAATATTTGGACAATCTCTCGGATTCAGATAGAATATAAAAAAATAAGATGACAACTTCCTATAAAAAAAAAATTCATACGGCACCCCCTACGAAGTTACGCGCCCCTAAAAGACGACTCTGTTGACAACTTTCAAAATACTTCGTGTAGAAAGAAAAAAAAATAGACGAAGTATTTTGAAAGTTATCAACAAAAAACCTATTTTCAGAGGCGTCCTTTAGGGGCACGTAACTTCGTAGAGGGGACCGTAGGATTTTTTTTTTTATAGGAAGTTGTCTTTTGTGCTCTATCTGGATCCGAGAGATCGGTCACATAATCTGGAACACCCTGTATATCGTACACAATTGTTCTGAATCTTTTGTAATCTATATTTTTTATGTTCTGTTAGAAAGGGTCCATAAACACAATCTGCATAATAGCAGTGTACCAAGATTAGCGACTCTATTAAAATGATTTTGGTATTAGTAGGAAGAAGATGTTTAAATTCATACAACAAAAAAACAAAATTGACGTTTCTGAGCGATTTTTCAAAAATTCTACCGTTGTCAAAATAATGAATTTATGCATGAGTTTATGAACTCACTGTACAAGGTGTATATTTTAAGTGATACCACTATTACTATATCCGAAACGGTAAGAGCTACAAGGTCGGTTAAATTAGAGAAAAGTTGCCTTTTTTGATGCCCATTTAAAACTTGTTTACATTGTTGTCAAATTCCTTTTAGTTTATGAAATACAGGGTGATTTCTTAAAAACGCCAAAAACTATTTCATCAACTATTTCGAAAACTATTGATATTCGAGACACAATTTAAATTTGAAAGTTTTATAATTTTTTTCGCTCTACATGCCATCTTCAAATTTTAAACCCGACGTTTCGTGATCGAGCTTCCATCATCAACTTCATTTTTTTTAATACGGACCTGGTCTTTTTATATCATTTTTACAAAGGGAATAAAAAGCTCTTTCTAAAAATGACATAAAAAATCCAGGTCCGTATTTAAAAAAATGAAGTTGATGATGGTAGCTCGATTACGAAACATCGGATTTGAAATTCGATGACACCATGTTGTAGAGCGAGAAAAATTTAAAAACTTCCAAATTTAAATTGTGTTTCGAAAATCAATAGTTTTCAAAATAATTGATGAAATAGTTTTGGGCGTTTCTTAAACCAAAAAGAATTTGACAATACTGTAAACGAGTCTTAAATGGGCATCGAAAAAGGCAACTTTTTCCCAATTTAACCGACCTTGTAGCTCTTACCGTTTCGGATATAGCAATAGTGGTATCACTTGAAATATACACCCTGTATAGGGTGGGCTTAAAAAATCAGAATTGTTTTTGAGCTGTAACTTTTTTTGTTTTGAGCAATATCCTTTTGTTTTGGCTTGTTTGAAAGAAAATTGAACAGGCGAACGAATCAAAGTAAAACTTTTGACATTTGAGAAAAAATCAAAATGGCGGACTTCTTCATAAATTACCTAATTTTGGATAGCGCTGGAACTTTTTTGTGACCCCCTGTATAACTTTTTCTAATAAATTCTAAAAGTTCATCTTGCCAACATTTTTAGACCTCGACAGGAAAAATCGGTTGAAAACTACGTAAAATATTAATTTTTTTGTAATATCGTATATCACCTTTTCATATCGAAAACTAGGTAACTTTTGAAGAAGTCCGCCATTTTGCTTTTTTCTCAAATTTTGAAAGTTTCACTTTGATACGTTAGCCTGTTCAATTCTTTCCCAAACAGGCCGAAACAATAGGAAATTGGTCAACAATAATAGTATATTACATACCGAGTAGGGAAGTGTTTCATTACTGTCGAGAGCGACTAATAATCTCGAGACAGAAATGAAAACTTCCCTCCGAGGTTTGTATACTATTTTATTTGCAAGCACACCATTGATTATGATCAGTCGATCATTTTTTTTAATATTAAAAAAATAGAACAAACATGCCAAAATGTGTCATTCGCTGCTTTGACGTTTTTACCTGACATGTTTTCATTGTTGCCAGCAAAGGTGAATAAATTAAAGTGAGGGAAATCGAAGAGGGAAGTGACACAGGTAAAGTGTCATTTCCAAATTTTTAAAAAGTCAGTAATGACAAGATTACATATATGATTGCAAATAAAAAAAATTACAGTTCAAAAACACAGTTCCGGTTTTTTTGAGCCCACCCTATACAGTGTGATTTTTTAAGTGTGCAACATATGGGGATTTTTTTAAGTAATAGCACAACCCAAATACAAACAAAGCCAAAAGTTGGTGCATGTCTGATAATCATATTAGGTGCACTTAGAATGGTTGCAAGTGAAACAGCATACAGGGTAGCTCAAACAATATCAAAGCTGTACTGTAAAGTACCCTTATTTTAGAAAATTCAGCAAAATGTTATATAGAGAGAAGTTATTTGGAATTAAAAGTTATGCCTAAATACCAAAACATAGCCTCCTAAGATTTTTTTTATTTTATTTCGAAAAAAATCTATAATTTCTATATTTTTTTTATTTTTTATTTCCGCTCTTAATACTTTCAAAAATTAATTAAAATCAAATCAATTTTACATAACTTTGTTCAAATTCAAGCATATTCGTAAAATTAACTTAGATTTTTAATTTTGTATGGAATCACAAAATTCATGTTTGTTGCAATGATATTCAACACAACTTTAAAACGTCGCAATTTTTTTTTTCAGCAAGTTAAAACATTACTAATGATAATAGCCATTTTAAAAAAACTCTCCTTAAAGTGCAAAAGTTTTCTTTCATTCAAGTAAATATTAGTAGAATTTTGATATTTTTTGAGCGACCCTGTATGCTGTTTGACATGCAACCATTCTAAGTGCACCTAATATGATTATCAGACATGCAATATCGTATATCACCTTTTCATATCGAAAACTAGGTAACTTTTGAAGAAGTCCGCCATTTTGCTTTTTTCTCAAATTTTGAAAGTTTCACTTTGATACGTTAGCCTGTTCAATTCTTTCCCAAACTGGCCGAAACAATAGGAAATTGGTCAACAATAAAAAAAATTACAGTTCAAAAACACAGTTCCGGTTTTTTTGAGCCCACCCTATACAGTGTGATTTTTTAAGTGTGCAACATATGGGGATTTTTTTAAGTAATAGCACTACCCAAATACAAACAAAGCCAAAAGTTGGTGCATGTCTGATAATCATATTAGGTGCACTTAGAATGGTTGCAAGTGAAACAGCATACAGGGTAGCTCAAACAATATCAAAGCTGTACTGTAAAGTACCCTTATTTTAGAAAATTCAGCAAAATGTTATATAGAGAAAAGTTATTTGGAATTAAAAGTTATGCCTAAATACCAAAACATAGCCTCCTAAGATTTTTTTTATTTTATTTCGAAAAAAATCTATAATTTCTATATTTTTTTTTATTTTTTATTTCCGCCCTTACTACTTTTAAAAATTAATTAAAATCAAATTAATTTTACATAACTTTGTTCAAATTCAAGCATATTCGTAAAATTAACTTAGATTTTTAATTTTGTATGGAATCACAAAATTCATGTTTGTTGCAATGATGTTCAACACAACTTTAAAACGTCGCAATTTTTTTTTTCAGCAAGTTAAAACATTACTAATGATAATAGCCATTTTAAAAAAAAACTCTCCTTAAAGTGCAAAAGTTTTATTTCATTCAAGTAAATATTAGTAGAATTTTGATATTTTTTGAGCGACCCTGTATGCTGTTTGACTTGCAACCATTCTAAGTGCACCTAATATGATTATCAGACATGCAATATCGTATATCACCTTTTCATATCGAAAACTAGGTAACTTTTGAAGAAGTCCGCCATTTTGCTTTTTTCTCAAATTTTGAAAGTTTCACTTTGATACGTTAGCCTGTTCAATTCTTTCCCAAACTGGCCGAAACAATAGGAAATTGGTCAACAATAAAAAAAATTACAGTTCAAAAACACAGTTCCGGTTTTTTTGAGCCCACCCTATACAGTGTGATTTTTTAAGTGTGCAACATATGGGGATTTTTTTAAGTAATAGCACTACCCAAATACAAACAAAGCCAAAAGTTGGTGCATGTCTGATAATCATATTAGGTGCACTTAGAATGGTTGCAAGTGAAACAGCATACAGGGTAGCTCAAACAATATCAAAGCTGTACTGTAAAGTACCCTTATTTTAGAAAATTCAGCAAAATGTTATATAGAGAGAAGTTATTTGGAATTAAAAGTTATGCCTAAATACCAAAACATAGCCTCCTAAGATTTTTTTTATTTTATTTCGAAAAAAATCTATAATTTCTATATTTTTTTTATTTTTTATTTCCGCTCTTAATACTTTCAAAAATTAATTAAAATCAAATCAATTTTACATAACTTTGTTCAAATTCAAGCATATTCGTAAAATTAACTTAGATTTTTAATTTTGTATGGAATCACAAAATTCATGTTTGTTGCAATGATATTCAACACAACTTTAAAACGTCGCAATTTTTTTTTTCAGCAAGTTAAAACATTACTAATGATAATAGCCATTTTAAAAAAACTCTCCTTAAAGTGCAAAAGTTTTCTTTCATTCAAGTAAATATTAGTAGAATTTTGATATTTTTTGAGCGACCCTGTATGCTGTTTGACATGCAACCATTCTAAGTGCACCTAATATGATTATCAGACATGCAATATCGTATATCACCTTTTCATATCGAAAACTAGGTAACTTTTGAAGAAGTCCGCCATTTTGCTTTTTTCTCAAATTTTGAAAGTTTCACTTTGATACGTTAGCCTGTTCAATTCTTTCCCAAACTGGCCGAAACAATAGGAAATTGGTCAACAATAAAAAAAATTACAGTTCAAAAACACAGTTCCGGTTTTTTTGAGCCCACCCTATACAGTGTGATTTTTTAAGTGTGCAACATATGGGGATTTTTTTAAGTAATAGCACTACCCAAATACAAACAAAGCCAAAAGTTGGTGCATGTCTGATAATCATATTAGGTGCACTTAGAATGGTTGCAAGTGAAACAGCATACAGGGTAGCTCAAACAATATCAAAGCTGTACTGTAAAGTACCCTTATTTTAGAAAATTCAGCAAAATGTTATATAGAGAAAAGTTATTTGGAATTAAAAGTTATGCCTAAATACCAAAACATAGCCTCCTAAGATTTTTTTTATTTTATTTCGAAAAAAATCTATAATTTCTATATTTTTTTTATTTTTTATTTCCGCCCTTACTACTTTTAAAAATTAATTAAAATCAAATTAATTTTACATAACTTTGTTCAAATTCAAGCATATTCGTAAAATTAACTTAGATTTTTAATTTTGTATGGAATCACAAAATTCATGTTTGTTGCAATGATGTTCAACACAACTTTAAAACGTCGCAATTTTTTTTTTCAGCAAGTTAAAACATTACTAATGATAATAGCCATTTTAAAAAAAAACTCTCCTTAAAGTGCAAAAGTTTTATTTCATTCAAGTAAATATTAGTAGAATTTTGATATTTTTTGAGCGACCCTGTATGCTGTTTGACTTGCAACCATTCTAAGTGCACCTAATATGATTATCAGACATGCAATATCGTATATCACCTTTTCATATCGAAAACTAGGTAACTTTTGAAGAAGTCCGCCATTTTGCTTTTTTCTCAAATTTTGAAAGTTTCACTTTGATACGTTAGCCTGTTCAATTCTTTCCCAAACTGGCCGAAACAATAGGAAATTGGTCAACAATAAAAAAAATTACAGTTCAAAAACACAGTTCCGGTTTTTTTGAGCCCACCCTATACAGTGTGATTTTTTAAGTGTGCAACATATGGGGATTTTTTTAAGTAATAGCACTACCCAAATACAAACAAAGCCAAAAGTTGGTGCATGTCTGATAATCATATTAGGTGCACTTAGAATGGTTGCAAGTGAAACAGCATACAGGGTAGCTCAAACAATATCAAAGCTGTACTGTAAAGTACCCTTATTTTAGAAAATTCAGCAAAATGTTATATAGAGAAAAGTTATTTGGAATTAAAAGTTATGCCTAAATACCAAAACATAGCCTCCTAAGATTTTTTTTATTTTATTTCGAAAAAAATCTATAATTTCTATATTTTTTTTATTTTTTATTTCCGCCCTTACTACTTTTAAAAATTAATTAAAATCAAATTAATTTTACATAACTTTGTTCAAATTCAAGCATATTCGTAAAATTAACTTAGATTTTTAATTTTGTATGGAATCACAAAATTCATGTTTGTTGCAATGATGTTCAACACAACTTTAAAACGTCGCAATTTTTTTTTTCAGCAAGTTAAAACATTACTAATGATAATAGCCATTTTAAAAAAAAACTCTCCTTAAAGTGCAAAAGTTTTATTTCATTCAAGTAAATATTAGTAGAATTTTGATATTTTTTGAGCGACCCTGTATGCTGTTTGACTTGCAACCATTCTAAGTGCACCTAATATGATTATCAGACATGCACCAACTTTCGGCCTTGTTTGTATTTTGATTGTGCTATTACTAAAAAAAAATCCCATATGTTGCACACTTATAGTCCGTTGACCTACGGCTACTGAATAGACAGAGGGGACAATGGGCTATTGCTGCGTTGTTAGTTGTCATATCGATAATATTTATTAATACATGAAAATTGCAATAAAATTTCCTTCATTTTCATGTAATAACAAATATTATTATTGATATGACAACGCAGCAATATCCCATTGTCCTTTCTGTCTATTCAGTAGTCGTAGCTCAAGAACCATGCAACTGACTTTAAGTAATGACACTGTATATTATCAAATTCCTTGTTATTTTGCAAAAAAAAAGAAATAAAAATAGGTAATATACAGTGTGTTATTTAAAAATGTGAAACGTAGCCTTTTTTATGGATTTTTCGATGTTTTACGACTATATAAATAGTAAACAAGATTAAAATTAGTGTCTGAGGTTTTTCGAGAAATATTCACTCTTTAATTGTTTTTATCTGCTAAATTACGAACGTACAGTATAATTTATCTTAATATAACAATATAAATTATATTTTGCACTTATATACTCATGTTTTAATATTTCAATGCCCTAAAATAATTATTTACAAGATGGTAATAGTAAATAGGCTTAATAACGAGGCTAAGTAACACCAGATAAAGTGCCCATCCATGCATGTTTTCTCTGCAAATTCCACTCGTCCTGCGGACTCGTGAAATTATAGAAAACACGCAATCGTGAAAAATTATCGGTAATTTTGAAGTTCTCGTGGTATTATCCCCGAAAATACTATTTATTTGTAACCGAGCTATAATGCACTTTTTTCCCTAAATAAATATGCAGTAATAACCCGGACACCTAAAGAGTTTTTGAAGTGAATACTTCTATGAGAGTGATTTTTCAAGGTCGCGTCACGACACGATTTATAATTTTTTTTATTTAATTAAGAAAATGCAGATTAAGTCAAACTAACTCTCACTAACCCGTCCGTAAAGTGCTAGCTAGTCCGCATAAGTAAAATACTGTTTATTTGTAACCGACCTATACTGCACTTGCACCCCTAAATAAATATGCAGTATAGCTCGGTCGCACCTATACATTTTTTTTTCAATGAAAATCGTTTGTGTAACGACCAAATAGTGAATCAATGTCGAAGTTAATGAGTTATCCGCCGAGTATGTTTTATCATGATGTCTTAGTTAAACGTTAAAGCAAAGTTTACAAATTTTTTTTGATTTTGATTGACCGGGCTAAACTGCATAATGAAGTACTTAGGGGAAAAAGTGCAGTATAGCTCAGTTACAAATAATAGGGTATTGTCAGTGTAATTTTTCAATAAAAAATTTCCTCTAAAAAAATTTATTTAAAATTCACTTTTTGGATGTTAAACAAACGATTTTGAATTTAAAAAAAATATTTTCGGTGACCCGGCTATACCTACTGCATATTTATTTAGAGGGTAAAGTTTATGTATAATTTGGTTACTACTACTATACGGACGGGTTAGTAAGGTTTAGTTTGGGTTAATCTGCATTTTTCTTAATTAAATAAAAAACTCTTTAGGTAACCGGGCTATACTGCATATTTATTTAGGGGAAAAGGTGCATTATAGCTCGGTTGCAAATAAACAGTATTTTCAGTACAATTTCCATTTGTAACTTTTCAACTGAAGATTTCCGCTGGAAAATTTTCTTCAAAATGCACTATTTGAACGTTTAACAAACGATTCTTATCCAAAAAAATACTATTTTAGGTGACCGGGCTATACTACATATTGATTTACGGGATAAAGTGCAGTATAGGTCGGTTACAAATAAACAGTATTTCCAAATATCATTTTAGGTGACCGGGCTATACTGCATATTTACCGTTTTTTTTTTTTTGAGTCTGGAAGAAAAACTATCAGTCGTAAAGTACTTTGGAAAGAATAAGGGTATTCGAAGGGTGATAAGGGGTTCGAGTTTTGGCCGAAAAGTTTCAAATCGGAAAGAGGTCAATATTATAAAAAAAATATGTACAGGGTGGTCATGATTTCTTTATTTTTGAAGTTATTAAAAATAATAGAAAAACATACTGTAGGGTTGTTTTCCAAGTTTTAGATAGGGTGGACAAAAAACAAAAGACTAATATATTTTGACAATTATGCACACAAATAGTATTTTTGAATGGAATACCCGGTAAATTATCAGTTTGTTTGATAATATGTTTCATTCTGATTGCAATATATACAATACAAGACAACTGAATACAATTTACTTCATATTTACATGCAGAAATGTTTTATTTATTCCAATGGGAAATTCTGTCTACCTACCTACCTTTGCAGGTAATCTATGTAGGTAATCAATATTTTCAGTTAGAATAAATAAAACATTACTGCACGTAAATAAAAAGTTAATTGTATTCAATTGTATTGTATTGTATATATTGCAATCAGAATGAAACATATTATCAAACAAATTAAAAATGTACTGGGTGTTCCATTTAAAAAAATGCCATTTGTGCGCATAACTGTCAAAATATATTAGTCTTTTGTTTTTTGTCCATCCTATCTAAAACTTGGAAAGAAACCCTCCAGTATGTTTTTTTATTTATTTAAATAACTTCAAAAATAAAGAAATTATAACAGTTTAAAATGTTATCAAGCAAAAATTACCACACTGTACAGTCAAAATGGTAATGAGATAGAAAGATCTCAAACCTAGTTCCGGGATGGAACCAAAAATGGCTTGTGTTTTTTGTCTGCGGTACCTAACCGTGCTGATGAGCTGTGATACAGCGAAACGCTACACGGATGGTCCGGCAGAGAGAAAACACTTCTCAATCGGTCCTTAATTAGGCCGTTACCCAATTAAAATAATAATAGCCTGGGAGAGACAAAAATTTATATGATAATAATAAAAAAAAATTGCTGAAAAAATTTTTACTTTCTATTTTTTTTTCAGGAATCAAGGACTGACACGTATATTCATGATCCAGATAGTCTTGAACTCATCTGTGCGGCGCGTAAAAAGGTAAATTTGCCCTTAATTGTGTACCTATTTCATGACAATAGTTAATTGAACAGACATAACAACAAAATGTATTAAGATTTGCTGATTACTAAAGTTCCTTGATTCACGTTTAAGGTCATTTATGTATTATTGTTGTCATCAGATCAGCAGTCTTCTGCCTGAAGATTACCAATACGAAATTCTAACGGCTAGTGCAAAGCCTGATCCAAATACTGAAGGCAATGAGGCCTTATATGGATGTGTTAAATTGTCAATCAAAACCAAAGCAGATGCATTAGTTTGGATAAACAGATTTCAGAGAAAGACGCTTACTTCATATCAATCTCCTTCATATTGGAGGAAAAATGCCATAGATGGACTTTTATTGGTATGTACTATTTTTTATATTAATTGATTTAGTTTCAATTACTTTGAGATTTGAGCTTTTGCTTTTTAGCATGATGGCAATAGCTAACAATACAATAACACAAAGACTTTTATCCAAAGAAGCATTAAACATTGTTTTCTGAAAAACAGAAGTTACTGTGAAACAACGTTTTAGCTTTGTTGAGTTTCAATTACAATAAATTCTAGAACCATCTGAAATAGAACAGAGTAATTTTCTTAAAAAATTTATAGCCCTAAGATACTTAATTGGACCGAATCTACTTGTTGATGTGAAATCCAAATCACTTTTACTCAGAAAACCGCAGTGATCTTTTGATTAGAAACTCAGATTAGAAATGACGAATAGTATAGTATAAGTGAATTATTTTGTAACAGAAATTCTCATTAGTTATTTATTGATATTATATTTCTTTCTAGAAACAATTTCGATGTGATTATCCTAGTAGGCAAGGATTGTGTTGCAAAGCTTGTCTTATGCTGAGTGTTAGGGATACAAGGGATGGCCGGTAAGTTTTAATTAGAATTTATTTCAACTTCATTTTACAATCTATATAATAATAATGAGGAAGTTGCATAAAATTTTATTTTGATGCAAAATGTATTTACAGTGAAGTAAAATACTCTAGAAGTATATTTCTATATTCAAATCTTCTTTATACTGAACCACTAATAAATATTTAATTAATTAATTATTGAATATAATAGTCCGAGAGCCAGCGCCAAAAAAGTGCAAGAGTTTCATGAAAGCTGAAAATGTAATATAAGCTTGTATTTGTGATGTATATAACTATACTCGAGTCAGCAAGTGAGGTAGCGGGACAAGCTACGCCCACGCACCTTTGAATGTGTAAAAAAATAATCGCGATGAAAGAGTTTCATGACAGCTGAAAATTTCTCAATCCATTGTTTATTTGATAAAAAACATGACGGACATGGTCAGATAGCATTATGTTAGGACAACTAAAGTCAGCATGCCTATACAAGGTGGTCCATTTAACTTGAGACAGTCTAATATCTCGAAAACGGTGCGTTTTTGAAAAAAAAAGTTCAAATAAAAGTTACATGGTATCATGTGGGAAACAAAATGGCGGTACTGATTTTTGACTGTCAACGTTTTCAAGGTTATTTCAAGGTCAACTCTTTTTTTTTTCAATGGAAATATATTTTTTTATTACAGAATCTTATTCTACAGAAAAAAACCAGTAACTTTTACTTGAAGCATTTTTCGATCCGGTTTCAATTTAAGCTGATAAAAAAGAACGAATAATTTTTTTTTCCTCGTCACAAAATCGAAAAGTAGAAAAAGGTTACCAAAAAAACCTCAAAAAATATAACAATGGGGTAGTATACAAGTGATATTTAACTACTACGTAGTGATATACGCGACGTATCGTACTATTGAGTGTAATCAGTTGCTTTGTAAAAACCGCAGTAGCCTGGAATTTTATTTTTTAAATTTCCTCTTAGCCCCGCCCCTACGTGAAAATAAAAGTTCGTGACGTAGTTAGTTTTTCCAATCTGGCAACACAACACGGTTTTGAGAACACACAATTTGCAATGACATTGATCGTCAAGAATGAAACATCAAATTTACTACATCAGACAACGTAAACAAGTCTGTGACAATGTCACATGTCACACGATTCACACGACAGCACACGTCGTTGAACTGTTGAATTTAGCTGTCATTTTGAGCAGCGTTGCCAGATGGTCAGCGGCTTGAATACTATTGGTCGCCGCTGTGGCGCTAAATTCAAATTACAGTTTGTTTTTCTCTTACTAATTCTATAGACACTATGCTGGAAAATAATTTAGTATCCCACTATACCATCACCATTTAGCCTATAAAATAAGGTCGAGCAGATTTTTTACTGATTTTTATACATAGTATACTACCCCATTGATCAAATTGACGACCGCCAACTTCAACACACTTGTTAATTCGCTGTAAAAAGCTTTCATGGCACCAAATTACAGTTTCTTTACTGACAGCTCTAAGCATTTCTTATGTGTTCCATTATATTATCCGGTGTTGTGGGAACCTCTTGATAAACTGTGTGTTTGATTTTTAAAGTGAATTGACAAGTGTGTTGAAGTTGGCGATCGTCATTTTGATCAATTGTTATAGTTTTTGAGGTATTTTTGGTAACCTTTCTCTAGTGTTCGATTTTGTGAGGAGAAAAAAAATTATTTGTTCTTTTTCATCAGCTTAAATTGAAAGCGGATCGAAAAATGCTTCAAGTAAAAGTTACTGGTTTTTTTCCTGTAGAATAAGATTCTGTAATAAAAAAATATATTTTCATTGAAAAAAAAGAGTTGACCTTGAAAACGTTGTCAAAGTCAAAAATTAGTACCGCCATTTTGTTTCGCACATGATACCATGTAACTTTTATTTGAACTTTTTTTTTCAAAAACGCACCGTTTTCGAGATATTAGACTGTCTCAAGTTAAATGGATCACCCTGTATAGGCATGCTGACTCTAGTTGTCCTAACATAATGCTCTCTGACCACGTGCGTCATGTTTTTTATCAAATAAACAATGGATTGAGAAATTTTCAGCTCTCATGAAACTCTTTCATCGCCATTATTTTTTTTACACGTTCAAAGGTGCTCGGGCGTAGCTTGTCCCGCTACCTCACTTGCTGACTCGAGTATAGTTATATACATCACAAATACAAGTTTATATTACATTTTCAGCTTTCATGAAAATCTTGCACTTTTTTGGCGCTGGCTCTCCGACTATAATAAAAGGCGCGAAAACGCTTTCAAATTGGTAAAATGTCGTCATGGAACGATCAACAAACAAAAGTGTGGTTATGTAGACAGAAGACGTGAGCCGCCAGACGCTTGTGTTTACATCAAATTCTACCGATGGATCCACCATTCTATGTCGGTCATTGTCATTTTTCATTCACTACTAAACAAAGATATCCCTCGTTTTCATTCTAATCGGCGACTTCACCGATGAGTTAGTTATCTTTGTCTAGTAGATGGAAAATGACAATGATCGACATAGTCGCATAAACCAATGACATAAAACACAATTGACAATGGCTAAGAGAGAGAGGGAGTACAGAGACTCAACGGATATCGTCTTGATTTATAATTATGTTTTGGCGCGAAGAGAGTTATTTTGATTTTCTATATTTTTTTCACAGAAAAACTATGGATTTGTATTGAATTTATAATGATTAAAACATGTAATTCCCATATGTTCCCTCTAACAAATAAATAGAAGTCTGCATTTAAAAAATGTATTTAATATTTTCAATATTTCAGCAACAAATTTAATCCCGGAGATGAAAAAGTAAGAGATCATGATCATTTAACTGGTAGATTTAGGGGTGGAGCGCACAGCATCTGTAACTTGAATTTTCGACGTCTGCCTCACATTCCATTGCTTTTCCACAGCTTAATAGGCTATGATAGTATTTTATTTATTAAAAAGTTTTGTTATGAAAATGATATTCTTTCACAAAGTAAAGAAAAATATATTTCATTTTTCAAAGTCGATATTGGTTGATAAAATTAAACAAACTGATAAAAAAAGTAAACATATTTTTATTAGGCTTATCTTTTCGTTTTGTTTCCGCTTTATTGGATAGTCTTAGTGAAAGTTTGGATCCTAATCAGTGTGTAGAAATCAAAAGATATTTCCGAGATCCAAACCTGTTTAATAAAATCATGAAGAAAGGAGTATATCCATATTCCTATGTAGATACCATGGGTGGATTTCATGAAAACCAACTTCCATCCATTGGAAACTTTTATGATAAACTTAAACCTATTAATGCCCAGAATTGCCTATATCAAAATTATACTGTTTTTTCTCAAATTAAAAATGGGTTAAATACTAAACCAAAATCGTTAGGAAAATTTAGAAAATAATCTCTCACGCCAGGTTTTCGAAATTTGACATGGGTTATTGGTCATATTATGAGGTGGGCCAGAAAAATATACCCAAAATATAATGTAATACTTATTATTTTCTTTATTTGAACATAATATAAGGTACCTGTCCCAAATAAGGCCACATTAAGAAGTTTTGTTTTTTATATCGTCGCTGTCATTACGAAGTGGCCAATCTCTGATTTAATAACTTTTCAGGAGAGCGTTTTGAAGAAAACTTTACTGTTCATTTTGTCTAACATCAGAACTTGTTTTTTCATATATAACACAAAAGTATACTTAGAACATTGAGACATATCTTTTCTGAAAGAAAAGATTGGACTTTTTCTGTAAATAAATTATTAAGAACATAGGCCCGTTCGTAATAACAAAAACAAATATTTGGCTGGTTGACAGATGTGCCGCTAAAATTGAATAATGACCACACGGTGTATTATGGAGATATGCCAGTTCGTCACAACATAGATATGGTTCTTTTGAGTATTTTTATGGGAATAACTCATTTTCGCCAAATATTGAGATAGGCCCCTTCGTACTGACAGCGACGATATGTGAAGTGTTTCGCTTCTATTACTTGAATATTAACTCAACAATTTTTTTTTTTTTTTTAAATGAGTGATGTTTTTTGCGTAAAACAAAGACGCTTACCATTGGCCTTGTTTGGATAACTATGATCCTAATAAGGCCACTATTAAAAAAATGTTTAAAATAAGTACAATTATTTATAAAAATATTATTATTTGAGAAATAGTACACAAAATAGAACTTATGCATTTGCTGCATTCTTAAAAAAAGAATAATTTCAAGTCCTGGGATGGTGATCCAAATAGGTCTACATACAACTAGAACAAATGAACCGCAGTATCTCTTCCTTGGTTAGGCTCCGGGCATTTCAAAAAACATCACTGAGGTAATAATATGACACATTCTTTTGAAAAAACACTGTGATGTGAGGCCAATTGAACATTTTTCGTATGATGGCCTTGTTAGGAACATGTTAAATTGATGAAAAAAAGTCTGTCAATAGAAATCCAGCAAAGATATTATTCTGTACTTACTGTGGTATGTGGTTGGTCATTTTTCGATATCTGACGAGCTGCTAGGAACCCTCGCAATAATTTTTGATTTGCATTATAGATTTCTTTTTTAATAATATTCTAATTTCTGAAAATGGGATTCAATATTAAGCAATAAAAGGCACTGGCCTTATTAGGTACATGGCCCTATTTTGGGTCAGGTACCTTATATAGATTTTTTTTTGTATGAATTGCCATTCAACGTTATTTAGTAGTTGGCTTTGCTGTCATTTGTGTATAATTTTTTTTTGTTGTTTGTTGTTTTTGCTGTAAGTGGGTTAGTGCATTCCGCAATCAGTAACGAGAGACCACATTGGTCGGTATTGATATATTTGAATTTTAAGGGTTCGATTTCGGGTACAGTTTAAGTAAATATATCACGTAAAATAGGGATTAATCGGCTTTCCAAGGATCTACTTTATGAGCTCACCTGAAGAGGTATTGCATCTGGTACAGTTGAGGAAATGAGAGGTCGTCTCGCGGTACCTAGACAGATAGAGAGGTCGAATGAAAGTTTGCATTATCCCCCTTATCCGTTCTCGTTTGCAGAGGACGCGCAGGGCGTCACCAAAAGTTTAGATAATATAGCCTTGCTGGTTGATGATTTTTCGGGGTCTGATGAGCATACTCAGTTTTTGAAGCTAATATCCAAACTTAATCATTGCTTAGCTAGGATAGATAATATAATTCCTATTACTATCGAGGAGAGAACGATGCGTTCAGTTTTGTTGGCTGAAAGTTTATCACTTATTGTTAGGTTAAATTCTAAAGTCAGATGTCCTCTACTACCGGTACATAGACCAACCCCTTTAAGTTTGTGTTTGCTCCAAAACACTATTTCAGGCTCGGCTATGGCGGCACCCTTGTCAAGTTCATCTTTTGTACATTCTCCCTCTGCAGTTGCACAAGGGGCCAATATTTCAGTTGCCCAGGCACCTCAGCCTTCATTCACAAAATCAGCTCAGGTAGCTCACAATAGGTCCCTTGCATCAAATTTTTTTATTTCTGATTTCGATAGTCCATTAAAAATAAGTCAACACGTGTTTTTTCTTTTTCTTCTTAGTCAAAAATTGACGGAGATACAACGCTATGAAATATGCCTATGACGTCATCAGGTATAATACTTTATGACGTCGCACATGCTCAGTATATCTATATATACAAAACTTAATATTTGTATAACTTCCGAAATAATCATATTTGGGCGAAATGAAAAAAAAGTAACGATTTTTTTTCGATTTCCTACAGTTTGCAATAAACAATAATCAATTTAATTTTGCATGCAAGTACCCTATTCTGGTTTTGCCCCTATACTTCTACACAAATGGAACATAGTTTTCTGGCGATAAACGAGGTACTTCAGTCACTGCTTTCTTCGAAAGGGTAGAAGAGCTCAGGGCTGCAAGAGGTGTTACGAAGCACATTCTGCTAAATTTAGGAATTGACTTATTTGAAGGCAGAGCTTACGAGTTTTACCAGAACTGTCGTTCGCAGGTGAATTCGTGGGATGAATTGGTTCAGAGGTTCAAGGAGGAGTACCAGCCAGCTTTCTATTGCGAGAAGTTATTGGAGGAAATAAAGAGGCACTCTCAGAGAGCCGATGAGACAAGGGGGACTTATATGGCGGTGACGTCCAAATACTTCCAGAGGTTGGAATGTCCGGTTTCTGAGGAGACAAAACTAACTATTCTTATTCGTAATATTGCTCCAATGTATAAGAATCAACTTGCTGCAATGTATGTACATACATATTTCAATAATAATTGAACTTTTTTGTTTGTCTTCACATTAATTTCATCACCAATGGGATTGACGCTATGATGAACATAAAACTTACCTGAACTAAAACTGGGTAGAAGTAAAAACACTACAACTAATGAAAATGATTCATAAAAAGTTTGACAAACTAAAAATTGTTTGACAACCAACCGTCTTATGACAGCTGATAGCGTCAACATCCAAAGGCGTTCACTAAAATTGATTACCAGCGATACAGTGACTCTATTACCACAGTGGCGACAATTGCTGTCTTATTTTTGATTGGTTCTAAAATCCCATATATTTATATTGAAAACACCGCCATCTTGTTCCCAACCTCTTGTTACTTTCGAATAGGAATATATGGGATTTAGGTGAACATCCATCATAAATCATGGAAAACAACGTATTTGATGGACCTAATAATGGTCATCAAATACGTCGATATCAATTTTTTATGATAGATGTCCATTTAAATCCTATATATTAATATTTAAAAGTAACAAGAGGTTGGGAACAAGATGGCGGTGGGACCTCTATTGTCGCCACTGTATGTAAAGGTTTATTTAGCCACTGTAACCAGCGATGAACATGCGCGCCCCCTGAGCAGCTTGGGGCACATTAAAAGCGGCCAGGATCGTTCAATACAAGTTCGCGTACCATGACTAGGGAACTTGCAAGTGAACTGAAATTTTCCAAATTTGCTTTAAATCGATAGTTTATACTGCACAATATTCATATGACCAATTTTTATTTAACTGATACCGCCCTTGTTACACAAAAAATAATATTAAATTTGGAATAAAAATTTTCCCGCCAAAAAATGCTCCTATGATGAATACCTGTTTTGACGTCACGATTCTGTAAACAAACCCGTCAATAGGGAAATCTGCGATAGGGAACTTGCACGTAAAAAAAATACAAAAGTAGTCCTTCACAATAATCTTCATCCATTGCGACAATTTTCATAAAAAGCAACCTTTAACACACTTGAATAACACAAAAATAGCACTGCGTCAGCAGGAGTTCGTTTGCTGCGTATTTGATGTTTACAAAATCTCAACGTCACAAGCGCTGTCAAATTGAGATTTCGTGTTTTCGCGCCAAAGTATTTGATTTGAATTTCAATAAAAAAAATTTCGTACAACGTATAAATTAAAATGGAAAAAAAGAAAACTATGTAATAACTGATCACTAGAAGTATCTAGAAAAAAATAATTTGAGAAATATGAAAATTCCCTAGAACGTAGCAGCGACAACCAGCATAGCGCTTTCTGAATCTGACACCGGAACCGTTCAGGATCAAGCTGGTGGCGGCACCATCACCAAAAACGCCCACGCAAGGTACTCTGGTGTGCCAAAGCGGAGCGACAACACAGCTCATCCGTTCGACGAAAAAAAGGAAGGTAACGTAGAAACTACGGAAACTGAAACCGAGATCATAAAAGTTAGATCAGTGTGGCAAAAACAAAAACAAACAACAAAAGAACTGAAGATAAATGCCAATTAGGCCGAAACGGTGCATCACAGGCCCATTTCCAGTATATCGTCGAATTTGTCTTTTAAAGGGCTATCAAAAACTCGAAAATTTACAGGAGGTCCCATTTAAAAAAATTGAACAGCGTAACATTTTGCGTAACGTGGCAACATCGCGTTTTTTAAACAAATATTTCAAATTTGAATATAGTCTAAAGAAGAGCATAATTTCATAGAAAATATGCAAAAAAAAGTTTCAAAAGTTTATGAGTAACGTTACAATGACTGTTGAAAATTACCACAAATTCTGAAGATAATCGTTAATAAGTTCGAAACGGTGTATCACTGAGACATGTCCAGCATATCGTTGGATTTGTCTTTTAAAGGGCTATGGGAAAATGTATTAAAATATATGGTGGTCCATTTTAAAAAAAAATGAAATTTTATTTGTCCACCCTGTATATAGTAGAGTGACAACAAAAACAATGCAAAAAAATTGTAGATAATTTTATCAGAAACAACTTTTGTATTTAATTTTTTTTAAAAGCCCTTGTAGATTTCGAGATAAGGTATAGGCCCCTCTTAAACGGGCCCCCTTTACATTCAGTAGGTAACTTAATTTAAATTGATTGAGCTATACTGGATATTTCTGGATAATGCGGGATCAAA